TTATATTTTAACAAATGCTATATGAAACTTTTCCATACAAAAAATATAGATGAAACGGTCATCTTCTCATCACCAAAAAATATATAAAAATGAGCTTAAAGGAACATTTGTTTGAAATATAAGGAGGTTTATGCCATTTTTTAAAGTATATAGAGAATTTACACTGAGTTTTGAAATCATGTTATTGATAATTTTGCCTAATAATAATAATAATAATAATAATAATTTTTTCTAATATTTATTATCTTTTAAATGCAAAAAAATAATTAAAAAAAATAAAAAACCCCTAAAGATATATAAATGATCTACAAATATCAATACTTGAGTTAAAACCCAAAACGATAGAACTTAATCACCAAGCCATGCTTTTGTACCAATACACTAATGTCAAATAAGTTTAATACATAAATAATTTATATATAATATAAATAAATAATGGGTTCCAATTTAAATTGGGCCCTGGGCGGTCGTCCGGGCCCAGGGACGGTTCTGTCTGAACATACATAGTTAAACTCGAGATATGAATCAAATTTGATAATATCTAAACCTAAACCAAAGTATATTTGGTGCGACTCGACAAATATAAAATATAATTTTAAAAATTTAACTCAATTTTCAAATTGAATATATATTAAAATTTATGTATTTTATTTAAAAATATTATTATAAAATTTTAATAAATAAAAAATCAAATTATAAAAATAAACTTAAATATAATTATATTATTACATGATTTTTAAATATAATTAATATATATTACTCCCTCCGTCATCCAATTGTGTTGTAACAGTTGGCTCATACTGAAAATGCTACCGCCACACTGCATCATGAGGTCGTCACCTCCTACTTCGGGCCCCACAATACACTGTTAAGGCTAAATTAACCATAAAAGTGCATTATTATATATCAAAATCTGATTTATAAATATTTGCAAAACACACCCCTTAACAAGAGGTTTTTCCGGTTAAAAATTTACATATAATACAATAGACGTAAGTTCACTCACTCAGCCCGTCTTTCTATATCCCGAGACGTCCCCTGTCTCGGATGTGCCATGCATGCCTGAAACAAATATTTTCTTAAAAGCATTCCAGAATTAAATCCATTTTAAGAACTAACGTGAAATATGTCATTTCACACCTTTTTAAAATAAAGTCTAATTCCCGTTAATCATAAAATACGTGTCATGTCATGCCAATAGTGAAATGATGCAATACAGATATCAAACTCGACAGCAATGCACACTCATATATATATATCCGCCAAAGTGAGCAGCCGGAATAACCTCGGCTCCATAATCATAGGCTCACTACATCTGTCTAAGTGAGCAGCCGGAATACCCTCGGCCCTGTAATAACAAGCTCACTAGACCATCAGCAATAAATAGCCGGAAAATCCTCGGCTCAAGGGAGGACCTGATAAACCCATAATAATATAACGATCATCCGGTCACTTCCATATACCCACCATACCACTCCCACAATCAATACATGGATAGTCGAACGTTCTCGCCATTAACCACAAGACGCCCCATAGTCTGTGATAACGAAGATAGGACCCCCACTGACTAGCCCTATCCCGTGTAATATAGTAGAATCCGTGCAACCTGGAATCACCCAAGGGAAACCCGGAAACTCTACTCCTCCTCGCGCGCCCTAACGGGATCACGTTTGGAGTTTGACATATGATCCTAAACTACCGGTAGACCTAACTAGTAGCTACTCCAATGAGTGGAACAGCGCCGAACACGAATGATTAGACCAAATACATCTCAACTACCATGGGTCTAATCACTGAATGACCGTACGAGTAAGTCACCCAGTTGTCCTACTACTATCGTCCACTATCGCCAAAGTGTTAAGGTACATCGGGGTCGAATATCCTAACCCCAGATGATGCCCTCACCTAGCACTACCGCATACGGTGACTAGACGATAAATCCATAAAACATATCCGATAAACCGTGCAATATGTGTGCAACATGCCAAATAAGTGAATTTACCGAAAGGGCTAGTGAGACAACTCACCTATCCTCCTTTTCATAAATTCACCAACGCGATCAAATACGTATATCAAATATCATAAATCGTGAAGTCTCCCACATGCATACGCACATATATTTATTTATATATAAATATATACTTGTACTGACAAAATAATTCACATAATATCACCTTAATATATTAATCAGAATCGCATGCAACATGCATACCTAATTTCTTAAAATTAGATTTAATTCCCTATTGCTTACCTCTTATCGACACTCCCTAGCTCCCGCAATTTCACCCAAATCTCTTCCAACGTACACCTGCCTCATTATTTACTCAAATCAGCTGAGCTATATACTTATACATAGGAGTTACCTGCTTATTCAAAAGCTAATTTCTATAGTTAGCTCGTTGGGTTTCAAACTTTTATATTTAGTAAACTACGATATTCTAGCTATAAAACTCTTATACCTCATAATATTTATATCGTCCGATTATTAAATAAAAATACTTAAATATATGAATAAACAGACAGGTGCAATACACTGCCGTTTTCAATTCGGCTCGGATCGATACGAAATTCTCATAATATAATACTAGGACTACGAATAGGCTATTAGCTAAAGAAATTTGTCGATTAAATAGCCAAATAGCTGGTTATGAATTTTTGAAAAATTTCTAATTTAATATTCCTAATATTGAAATTCATATTAAAATCCATAATTAAATTCTACGTAAAACAAATAATACAATACCAAAATCGGAATCAAAATCGAACGGTTAAATCTTTTTCTTTCTTTTTTTTCTTCCTTCTCTTTTATCTCCTTCGCGTTCTTCTGCTTTAGCCTTCCTTCAGGTAGGTTTGGTTTGTTATATAAAATTATATTATTATATATATTATATTATATTATTATTATTAACGTTATTATCATTATTATTATTATTATTATTATATCTTCGTCATCATCCATCCTTATTATTATTATTATTATTATTATTATTATTATTATAATATTATTATATATATATTATATTTTATATTTATCTTTATCGATATTTATCCATTTAATAGTCTTTTTAATCACAATTAATATATAAAATAGGAATAAAATTTATTCCAAAATATTAATTTCTTGATTCCAAAATATTATAAAAATATTTATTTGCTATAATAATATTATTTTATACACTCCAAACTCGGGGTATTACATGTGTGCTCATTTGACCGGGTATGAGTTTTAAGAAAAATATGTAAAAATAAAAATTTTTACTTTTTTGGTAAAAAAAGTAGTATCTTTTTACTTAAAAAAAAGGAAACGAGAATAAATTTGAACGACTGAGAGAGTATTAATATATCCTGTCTCTATTTACGTATATAATTAAACTCGACTTAAAATATAATTAATTGGGAAAAATCAATTTTGGTCTCAATATAATCAAAATTAATCAATTTTGGTCTCAATATAAAAAACTCATCAATTTTGGTCCCAATATAACCAAAATTTATCAATTTTGGTTCCAATATAAAAAACTCATCAATTTTAGTCCCAATATAAACAATTTCAATCAATTTTGATCCAATTATAAACAATTTTTATCCATTTTGGTCCCACCGTTAAAAAAACTAACGGAAATTGCTGACGTGGACATGACGGATGTGACGTGGCAGTTGACCTGGAAAGTACACGGCCATATACAATTATACACGGCCATGTTGTTACGTGGCCATGTATATTTCAGTGTATAATTATACATGGTCATATTGTTACACGACCATGTACAATTATACACGGCCATATTGTTACAGGGCCATGTATATTTCAGTATATAATTATACATGACCATCTTGTTGTCCGTGTACAATTATACACGGCCATATTGTTATATGACCATGTATATTTAAGTGTATAATTATACATGACCATGTTGTTACACGGCCATGTATAATTCTACACGGCCGTGTACCTTTCTGTTTCGGTCTAAAATTTTAATTTTTTTTATATTTTTAATTTTTTTTTTGAATTTAGAATCGTTGATATAGTTAAAATGGAAAAAAAAATAAGCATAATATAATTAAAATATATCAATTTTAGTTCAAATATAAGTATTTATTGAGTATGTTCTTTTGAAAGATTTTGTCTAAAATTCTACTATTTAGCAAAAAAATTTCTTCTACAAACATCCAATTAATGTATTGAAATAATAAATTAATTTCTAATACTACTATAATATACAAAATTAAAAAATAGTTGTGTAATTGGATGTTTGTAAGAGAATTTTATTTTTTTTTATGAATAATAAAATTTTAGACAAAATCCTTCAAAAGAATATATCTTATAAATTTTTATATTTGAATTAAAATTGATAAATTTTAATTATATTATAATTACTATTTTGATTTTGTCAATTTTAACTATATCAACTATTTTAAATTCAAAATAATTTTTTTTAAAAAAAATATGACAAAAAAATAAAATTTTAAACTAAAATAGAAAAGTACGTGTATAATTATACACTGAAATATATATAATCATGTAACAACATGTCCGTGTATAATTGTACATGACCGTGGAACAATATGGTCATGTATAATTATACACTGAAATATATATGGCCATGTAACAACATGGCCGTGTACTTTTCAGGTCAACTGCCACGTCACCTCTTTCGTATCCACGTCAGCAATTTCTGTTAGTTTTTTAACGGTGGGATCAAAATTGATAAAAATTGTTTATAATGGAGCCAAAATTGATTGAACTTGTTTATATTGGGACTAAAATTGATGAGTTTTTTATATTGGAGCCAAAATTGATAAATTTTGGTTATATTGGAATGAAAATTGATGAGTTTTATATTGAGACAAAAATGGATTAATTTTGATCCTATTGGAATCAAAATTAATTTTTTCCTTAATTAATTGGATACGGTCGGACATCGGGTCTACCCGATCCATACCCCTTGTAGGAATTGAACTAACCCGACCCGAATCATTTCAACAAACCAATCAATCCGACCCAAAGCCTCCACCCGTTCAATTCGACTTCGTCATCGTCGACTGGTCGCCCGATGGATACATGAAATTAGGCTCACTCTGCATCTTCCCAGGCCAGGACTCGAGCTTACTGCAGAAAGCTGCTAAATTTCATGAATCTGAGTCCAAGAACTGCTGATCTCCGAAAATGAGAAGGCGTGTTTGTTAAATTTTACATGTCAATTGCGCTTGCTTATTCTTCGATTGATTTTCGTGTAGGCTGAGTCGCATCTGCTGATGGCATTGCTGTTATTTCTGTTAATTTTGTTTTTTTCGTGATTCCATCAGACTTGCGCACAGACATCAGCTAAAGCAATCAGGAGTTAGGGGAATGTTCGGCAGATTAGCAATCGCCGTCATTGTGCTGGTGATCTGTACTATTTCTCTCTTGTCCACTATAAAGAGCACCACTAGATCCGTCTCCCGTTCGGAGGTACATATTGCAGCGATGATGCCTTTCTTTAATTTTTTAAGTAATTATGTTTGTTTATAGGTGCTTAGATGTTATTTAGACATTGTCCTCTGTTAATGTTTTGGGTTGTTGGTCAGATGATTTGTTATGTGTGTAGTAGACATTGTTTGTATGGTGAAGCTTGGATTCTTGTTACTTCATTAATGGTATCACAGTTTTTAGCTTATTCTGAAGACTGTCAGGTTAATAATTCAACAAACTGGTTAGCTAATATCTTTTCAGTAGATCTGATATACTGTATGCTGTGTGTTTCTCATCAAGGTTTTACCAAAAAAATTGTATTAACGTCTGATCTTGTTTCTTATGATAATACACAGATTGATGTGGATAGCCTTTGGGACACGGCAGCTTCTGATGGGTGGAGACCCTCATCTGCACCAAGATCTTATTGGCCCCGTATGATCCCACATTTACCTATCATATGTTCTATTGCATTGATTTTAGGTCACATTGTCAAATCAGGCTTCCACAAAATATACCACTGGCTCTGCTTGCTTCAATTTTCTTTTGAATATGTTTTGTGTTAATTTAAAGTGCGTGCTGATTTTATGATGCCTCATGTTTATATTTTTATGAAGCTCCACCTGAAGAAACCAATGGCTACCTACGTGTTCGTTGCAATGGTGGCCTAAATCAGCAAAGAAGTGCGGTATGCAACAGAAATGTGCTTTCTATACTGTGATATTACCACAGTTGTTTTTAATAATCTTACTTTTCCTTTTGTTTTGTATCTCTGTCATATTTGATGCCATGCTCTTCAAGAGATTACAATCTTATCTTAATGATGCCTTGTGCTCTGGGATTGAAGAAATCTTTTTCTGGGTTGTAGATCTTTTGCCTCATATTAGCTGATTATTTTTTCATGTCAATTAACGCTAATATATTTGACAAATTTTCCTCAATGGATGGATATATTTAATAAAAATTTCATAAAAGGGTTGTGTTCAGGAATTGTGCATTGTACATATAGGAGGTTCTAGATTACCCACTCAAAAATCTACTGAGAATAGTATTAATTAAAAATTGGCAATTCATTCAAAAATTTGAACACTACTTAAGTAAAAACTCACAGAATACCTATTCTTCCTTCATTGATGATTATGCTCGAGTAAACTTGTGCACATGAAGGTAGAATATAATCCCTTGTTGGCTTTTTTGAAATTTCTTTCCCATTGGTCTCGATTTTATTATTGAAAAAATATTCTTTGAAAAATGTGTTTAGAATCCTGTTCAAGCCAAGTTAAAATTGTTAATGATCACCTTGTCAAGTTATAGTTGATGGAGGAGTTTGTACTTCCTAAGTTTCACCTCCTTTCCAGTTTCGATATGAATTTTAGTTGTTCGCTCTGCAGATCTTTCGTAATGAATTTCTCTTGTGAAACCATCATTTCTGTTATTCCTATCTTAATACCTTACGAGAGAAACTTTCTGATCTTTGACTTTTTATTTACTTTCAAGAATTTGATTGCTCCTGAATTGTGGATATTTGGTGATTTCTAGATCTGTAATGCTGTTCTTGCTGCTCGAATTATGAATGCTACACTTGTGCTTCCTGAACTTGATGCCAATTCCTTCTGGCATGATGACAGGTGCCCATTTCCAGTACATACCACAGCCTTTTTGCCTTAAATATATAAATATGTCTTGGAGCATCACAAGAGGCGTTGACTTATTTTACTTGGGATTTTGTAACATTTTATCATTCATTAGACATTAAAATTTAAATATAAGGAAATGTGGTCAGGAGTTATTTCCATATGTGTCTCTGTGTGTGTTTACTTGCCTATGGACAGTTCCCCATCCAGTGCACTAGTGGTTGTTTTAGGAATTCATTTATGTGGTTCTAGTGCAACTATATTTACTGTTCTTCTATACTTAATGAGCAATTCTTGGTTTAAGAAGATTAAGTCCACGGATAATACTTAAAAGTTATTTACCATATCCTTAAAGATGTTAATCAAAAGTATTATTAATTCTTGCATTTGTGAAATTTTTTCAATGCTTAAAGTTTGATTTAATGTTCAATTGCTCTCTACCATAGTTAAGATTCGATATGGTATCTTGCAAGTCAATCTTATTAATACAAGATGTTTTGAACAAAGCTGCTGGTTCAACTTAATGTTCTACTCCAAAGAAAACATTTCTTTGACTTGCTCAACTTTGTTTAGTGCATCTGATTCCAGTTATCTATTTTTATCACTTCCCATGCAGTGGTTTTCATGGTGTTTACGATGTCAAGCATTTTATTGAGGCATTGCGATATGATGTGAAAATAGTTGAAAGTATTCCAGAAGTCAAGAAGAATGGGAAAATCAAGAAGATTAAAGCTTTCCAGGTAAAGCTTTTAATTATTCGATAGATTTTTTTACTAAGCATGAATGACCAATATACATGGCACATCTTTTTTGGGAATCAGATAAGACCACCAAGAGATGCTCCTATCAGTTGGTACACAACAGATGCTTTGGAAAAGATGAGAAAGCATGGTGCCATTTATCTTACACCTTTCTCACACCGCTTGGCTGAAGAAATTGACAACCCTGAGTACCAGCGGCTTAGGTGTAGAGTGAACTATCATGCCTTAAGATTCAAGCCTCATATAATGGAGCTTAGTAACTCAATAGTGAATAGACTTCGTGCACAAGGGCACTTCATGGCAATACATCTTCGATTTGAGATGGATATGCTGTCATTTGCTGGGTGAGTCCTTATTTCAACATTTTGTGCGCTCAAAATTGCTGTTCCATAGATATTGAAAATTCCAATTCTGCCTACGCTTATTCCCTTATATGAGTAAATATTCGAAACACTGGAAAATAACTGATGTGGTAATGCATTTGGCACATTTGTAGTTTTAGTTAATGTGCCAACTATTTCATTAGTTATTTGATAGAAGTTCATCAACTATGTAATGTTAGGGGTGTTTGATCTATGCATACTTGATAAAGTAACAGATATGAAGGTAAGCAGAGCTGAGTTGTAGATCGCCTAAATAACTGTTAAGGATTGGATGGTCTCTACATGCCAATAGTATTGAGTGATTTGTAATCATGTGCGCAATTTGCATGAACTTGGTCTGACAAAAATAAGTTTTAAGAACATTTCCATCATGCAAGTATAATTAAAACATTTGTAATTTCAGATGCTTTGATATATTTACACCAGAAGAACAGAATGTTCTGAAGAAATATCGGGAAGAAAACTTTGCACCAAAGAAACTTGTTTATAGTGAAAGAAGGGCAATTGGAAAATGTCCTCTAACTCCTGAAGAGGTATTATTTTACTCCTACTGTTTGTCATTATTAATTTCCATTCTTTATTCTTGGGATTTATCTGTCCTATTTTATTATTATTAGAAAGCAGAGACTACATGGTTGCTGTTCTTAAATCCTCAAAATCTCATAGCTTTTCAATTCAACTGGGTGTTGATTACTTCTATGTTCTGTTAACTGAAAGGAAGAGATGCTTATTTCCTGTCAGAATTAAACCTTTATGAACCATATTCTACATACGCTTGCCCACATTCATGTTCTCTAAAAAGTTTGTTTACCCTTTAATCTTCTCTTAAACTGTTCCATCACTAGTGGAAGTGTCTGATGGCTCCTAAATAGCCTTATTGGATGTCATTCTCTCTAGTTCCATGTTGTGATGTTTTGGTAGAATTAATGTGATTTTTACCTTACTCTACATGAATGTGACTGGTTCTTACTTTCTTAACATGAAACACCATAACATGTTTTTTTTTTTTTTTTTTTTTTTTTTTTTTTTTTCTGAGAACGGAATTTTTATTTATCATTGAAGCAGAACAATGTGACTTCATAGTCTTATATGTGTTATATAGTTATATATATTTTGTTGAAGCATTTTTGTCACTTTGTCATTTCTCTTCATAACATAGTGCATTTAGGACTAACTGTTGGTTTGTGGTGCAGTATTGGGAGGAGGTTTTCTGCAAGTCATATAGTGATCCTTTATTTAAATTGTCTTTAGAATTGAGTCACTTTACAAGTTGCTCAAACTAGTCTTGAGGTCAGTTGCTTAAAAATAGGTAATTCCTTAAAAAGAAATATCTTCAGGCTACTGCTAACTGTATTCAGTGGCGATGCAATGATTTAAATATTGGTGTTCTCAGATTCTTCTTTGAAAGCAGAAAAACTATTGCTATATTTGTTTCAAGGTTTTAGAGAACAGTACGTGAAAATGAAAGAAATGAAATAATCAAAAGAAGTTTGTTGGCAAAGATGAAACTATAACTCAATTAAAATTACAAACTTGAAAGAATGAAAAGACTTTGATGAAAATAGACGCCAATTCTGGGTAATAGTTTTCATTTATATTTAATTTTAGATTAATATACATGTTGAACAAAATAGTGATGAATTATGTTTTCTTTATTTTCGTTTTATATATTTGATTGTTTGATTGAGCATTTTGTATATATATAATACTATATGATGATTTAAGGCTAATAGTGATTGATAGTTATTATGTGTAAGCTATTGGCAGTTGTGAGTATGAATAAGTTAAAATTATTTTATATAAATAGGGGGCAATAATTTTGCAGTTATTGAATTTTTTAGAGTGTGTTTGTTAGTGGGTTTGATTTTTGGGTTTGTATTTTTGAAAAGTAAAAAATTGAATTTGAATAGTTGTTTAATGTGATATAAATATATGTTTATTTGATGTTTTGAATATAAAATAAATTTGTAGTATAATATAAAAAAAGAAAATAATTGTTTGATTTGATATTTTTGGAGGGAAAAAAAGAATCTGAATAGTAAAAACCTGGGCTAAAACTCACGAAAGAACACAACCTTAGTGTCTTTTATGCTCATGATAGAAAGCTCATTATTATTAATGCAGTTATGTTTGGTAGGTTTGTCTTCTATATTTTTTGAAAAAAATGAAGATGAAAATGCTTACATCCAAAGATAGCCATGTTTGTGGCATATTGTGTAGGCTTTAATTTGCTCTTCCTCATTTTCCTTTCTGTAAGCTTAATTTTCTTTTAAGTTAACTTTTCCTTCTCACCCAAACATATAAAACAGTCGTTATTATGCTCCTCTTCTTTTTGTCCTCTCAAATACATATTGCAAATCTATCGTCTTGCTATCCATGTACATAAAAATTTCAAAACAGACACAAAGTATAAGATCTCGAATGAGCTGAATGCTAGAAAGTTGTAACCCAATGGTATTATTTTCTTAGAAATGGTCAATCAATCACAATTGTCAACATATTATGAACTTCTTTCCAATGATCTGCAGGTTGGTCTTATCTTGCGAGCTATTGGTTTTGACAACAGCACCAGAATATATTTGGCAGCTGGCGATCTATTTGGTGGTGAGCGATTTATGAAGCCTTTTCGATCCTTGTTCCCTCACCTTGAGAATCACACTACAGTTGACACCACTGGGGAACTGGCCAAGAATACTCGTGGTCTTCTGGGGTCGGCTGTAGATTATATGGTTTGCCTTCTTTCTGACATATTCATGCCGACCTATGATGGGCCAAGTAACTTTGCAAATAATCTTCTTGGCCACCGCCTCTACTTTGGTTTTCGTACAAACATAAAACCAGATAGAAAAGCACTGGCACCTATCTTTATTGAGCGGGAGAAGGGCAAGGGACATGCCTCAGGTTTTGAAGAATCTGTGAGGCAGGTGATGGCAAACACAAACTTTGGCGGACCTCACAAGCGAGTCCCTCCTGAATCATTCTATACAAATTCTTGGCCTGAATGCTTCTGTCAGATGTCTGCTTCGAATCCAGCCCACAAGTGTCCGGAGAATGATATTTTAGCAACCTTGGACAGTCAAATCAGAAAAGGAGAGGTCCATGATGAGACAAACCGATAGATAACACGACATATTAAGCATAAGTAGGATTTTCCATGGAACATTCAGTGAGTCCAAGATGCCAACAGCCGGCAAACCGGTGTGTGATAGACAACACGTAATTGGAGCCAGCCACAAATGAAAATGGTATTTCTCGTTGATCTGATATGATCTGGCTTCCCTCATCCATTTCTTCTTATTGTGACAAAGCTTTTGATCGGAGAGCGGAGTCTTCTGAAAATTCAGACACCAAATAGATTAGAGGGTGGGTGCTTCATTAGACAAGGTAAATGAAACTTGATCCCTGCCTGCCTGTGCGTGCCATTTGTTGCTTGTTGCTTATGAACTGAACTAATTAATATGTTTGCATTACTTTAAGCTTATACTGTTACCGGCATTATTGCAATGGTTTGGGTCGAGGAGAGTTATTAAGATAGCCTTGTAGTAGTTAGTACTAGTAGTACTACAACTGCAAACAATGTGCCATTTACTAAGATTCTTTATTATTCCACACACTCACAAACTATATATCTATAGATCATCTCCATCTTTCCTTACTACTATTATTTTCTTTGATTCTTTGATGTTGACATGCCGTATGCTATATGCCTTGCTGTCTTGTCTTGTCTTATTTAATACAAGTAATATCTATTAGTCTTGGCCCCGACTCGACAAAGAAGGGGAGTATTAAGGTTAAAGTTGATCTTTGGGATAATAAGATTTGCAATGCAAGAGTGTTTTTGAGCAATGCTTTGGGCTTGATGAATTTCCTTGCATAAATATATTGGATTTGGGAGATTTTATACGCATGATGGATTGGTTAAGTTGAGACAATGGTTGATGAAATGATATATATATATATATACCTTCTGTGTATATATATATATGTGATATATAAATATATATTATATGTATATACATACATATATATTATGTGTATTTATATATAAATACACAGTATGTATTATGGGAAGCTGGGAGGAGTTGGGCATCAGGGCCTGATTTTGTTTATCCAACCAACATGAGATGGAAAAAGAAATCATTTGAAAGAGGAAATAGCTATCACTATTGTGTAGATTGTTATATTCCACAAGTGTGTTTTATGTGTGTATGTATATAAGGTGATGATTATCGCGTCGATGCTTTGAAACAGCGCCAATACTAACTCAATATCGGTAAATATTATGTACTATTTGTATTTATATACATGGCAATGGTTACAATGTGATTAAGGCTAATCGACTTCGTGCTGATTAATCATAATTCGTTGAATTATATTCTAATCTAACGGTGGAGACGAAGGACGAGAGCAATGAGTTACCTATTGTCATCCCCCACATGGTGCATATTCCTTGTGACTCTTTTGCGAAAATTTTCTAATTTTTATATTCTAATGTTTTGCCACATATTTACTTTGTTAAATGAAAGCATTTAACAGTGTAAATAAAAACATATTGTTGTATCTGTAGATTGATCTCATGCTCTTTCGTAGCAACGTCTATACTCTTGCTTTACTTTCACTCAAAAGTATATCGACTCAAAGCTGTATAACAAAATTATAAGATTAAAGTAGTTTATTATCAACTCTACAATATCAAATTAGTAAAATTTAACTATTGCTAATTTGTAGTATTCGAAGCTTATATACGTATATTGTTATCTAAATATTACTCATTCTATCTTGTAAAAATAAATTCACATTGCCATTTTAGTTTGTCTATAAAAGTGTGATTATATCATATTTAATAATAAAAAAAAAGTATAAATCTCTTTAAATCTTTATTTATTTTTTTTATAAAAAAAAAATTATTTATACTATTGTCACCGCTATTTTAATTTAAAAATTATATTATTAACTCTAAAAAAAAATTTAATTTTATTCTTATAAAAATAATATTGAATTATTATTATTTTCTTTGACTTAAAAATTTTGAATAAAACTGTCAAAATGAGTTGATGGGGCTGATTAGCCTACAAGCCACCGTAACCTGCAAATAAACAGCTTATTTGCGGGACAATCTGCAGCGGAGTACGCTAAGATTTAGATAGTCCAATCAAATCTACTGGCGAGTAGTGAACCAAACGGGCCAACCCATGGACTTTTAAAAAATATTACTTTTTTATATATTTAATATTAAAAGTCGTTATAGTTTAAAGTTTAAATTAATTAATATTTCAAAATAAATATCTATCATAAATTAATTCAAAATTCTATGTATTATTGGTCGTTATTTTTTTCTAAAATAATTGCTAATAAAAAACATCTAAACAATATATAAGTATTATTCTTATAAATCTTTTAATAAATTTTAGAAGAATAAAATTAGAAGACAATGAAAGATAAATAAAACAAACCAAAAAAATTTGAAATAAAAAACAGCGACATCAAGACAATCATAAAAATAGTAACATCGCAATTACTAAAAATGAAATAACATTAGTATGAAAAAATGATGATGAATTTTGTTTAGTAATATATAAATTGTAAGAATTTTCTAAAATTATTTACTAAGCACAATTACTAAAAATAAAATAAATAAATTAATTTACGACAAACTATAAATAACAAAATAGATATATTCTTTTAAAATATTAAAGATATAATATAATCATAATTATAGTTATTTTGCCCCATAGGCTAACCCACCCCACGGGAGGCTAACTCACTTTCAATTTCCAGTCCATGTGAGTTAACTCGTTTAGACCCGTATTTTAATGGGTCTAAACCGATCAAGAACCGACCCGACTCTGTCCGACCCGATTCAGAACCGACCCGATTTGTTTTTTATCTCCTTAAATCAAACCGATCTCTCCCCATTCTGTTCGATCGTTTGAATCGGTCTCTCATCCGTTCCGTCGTTCACGGTGCTATCCCTATTTCTTCGAGATTGATTGAGTCCGCCATAGGTGTTGATAAGGTAAGGTTGTTTCCTACTCTTTTGGGTTCTATCCATCCGCCTCTCCCCTGTATATATGGGTTTGTGATTTTGGGAGAAAGAGTGTGATCGAGTTCAATTCTCTGTTATGTGAGCGACGAACTTACTGCCTTATCCTATCGACTTCTCTTGCTATTTTTCGTCCTGATATTGAGTGTGCAAGGAATAGGGTTCTTAGGTTACTTCGTGTTAGGAACCACCGCAATCGACACCTTTGTGGGTTACCTCATAGGACGACTTGGAGTTGGTGAAGGAGTGGCTGCGATCTGAGCCTACACTACCGATTGATCTATTTTTTCTTTTCAATTCTTAACATATATTTCTGTTTTACATTCTTAATCATCGTTTTTATCCGCACTAATTATTTGGTTGAGAATCTGTGCAGATCACCCAACGTTCAGGAAGATCGAGAATCCCAACATTGGTATCAGAGCAAGGTTAAAAAGCTGAACGCGTGCTGAATTTGCTATCCTAGTTGCAAAGAGAAATTGGTAAAATTTGCCCCAATCGGTAACGGATGGCTAACCCTTGAACCTCTATGTGTTAGATAATACTTGGGCATTCGTGATTGTTTATATATGAATTGTGTGACACAACTATCACGTAACTGGCTGCTCCAAGAGCGAGTAAGTAGCTGACCACTGATAGTTAGTGAATTATTGTCTGACATACTTGATTGTGTGTGTTGGCTATTACGTACCAAGCTGCTCCTAAAGGAGTAGGTAGTTGACCTCTAATAGCCCCTTGTGTGACCGTGTGAATTATTCGTTAATATGTCGTATGTGTCATCTTTCAATATTGCACTATTCGATGGAAAAATTGATTTTTCGATTTGGCAACAAAAAATGAAAGGACTTTTAGTAACTCAAAAAGTTTCCAAAGCAATTGATGGTGATTATAATGCGTTATTGACAGATGAGAGAAAGGCTGAAATAGATGAATGTGCTTATTCTCTGATTATCTTGAACTTGTCTGATTCTGTGATTAGAAAGGTAGGAAAACTTGATTCTACGAAAGAATTATAGGAAAGATTAGAAGAACTTTACATGGAAAAATCTTTGCCAAACAAACTGTTCTTACTTGAAAAGTTTTTCCGTTTTAAACTTGATTTGAATCGGAACATTAATGAAATTTAGATGTTTTTACAAAGTTAGTTCAAGATATAAAACAAACAGGCGATAAGAATATTGATGAATATACCCCTATTGTTCTTTTGAATGCAATTTCTGACTCTTATTATGATGTTAAGTCTGCTATCAAATATGGTAGAGATAGCATAAATCTTGAAACTGTCATGAATGGATTAAAAAGCAAAGAACTTGACTTGCATGCACATAAAAGTTATAAACATGCTAGTGATGAAGTGATGTTTGCTAGGGGTAGGTCACAAGTTAGAAAAAATACAGAAAACCAAAAGAATAAGGGAAAGAGCAATGAGAGATCTAGGTCTAAGTCTAGGCCAGAGAACAGAAAATGTTACAACTGTGGGGAACCCAACAATTATGCTAAGCAATGTCCACACCCTAAGAATTTTAAAAACCAACAAAATGAGCATGCTAATATGACTATAGGAAATGAATATGTAGGAGATGTTTTCATGGTTAAAGGAAGTTGTGCTGCTGTTAATACTATATGTGCTAACGAGTGGTTGCTTGATTCTGCGTGTACCTTTCACATGTCTCATTTGAAAAACTTGTTTTCAAACTATAGGTCTATTTCGCATGCTAGTGTTTCAATGGCAAATGAAAAACTTTGTAAAGTTGTTGGTATAGGTGATGTTTGTCTAAAGTTTGACTCTGGCTATGTGTTAACCTTAAGGGATGTTAGGCATGTTCCTGATTTGTGCAATAACTTGATTTCATGTGCTGCACTAGATGAAAGTGGATTAATAGGAAAATGGGGAAATGGCGTTATGAAAGTCTTAAAAGGTTCATTTATTGCATTTAAGGCTGTCAGAAAAAATAATTTGTACGTTGCTTATGCTTAATCAAATTGCATGCCAAATGTGAATTCTGTTGTTAATGATAAAACTGAATTGTGGCATAGACGATTAGGCCACCTTAGTGATAAAGGTCTTGAAATATTAAAGAAAAATGATTTTCTTGAAAATGATAAGATTACTACTGTGCCTTTTTGTGACTCGTGCGTTTATGGTAAGCAACATAGGGTAAAATTTGATTTGTCCCATGCTCCTAAAGTGCCTAAATGTAAGGATATGCTTGAATATTTGCATGCTGATGTGTGGGGTCCTGCTCCTGTTCCTACTCAAGATGGGAGTCGTTATTTTCTTTCAGTAATTGATGAATTTTCACGAAAAGTATGGATTTTTCTATTAGAACAAAAGTCAGATGTTTTTGAAATTTTTCAAGCATGGAAAAAGTTAATAGAAAATCAAACAGGTAAGCGCATTAAATTTTTGAGAACAGATAATGGTCTTGAGTTTTGCAACAATTTGCTTGATTCATTATGTGCTAAATCAGGTATAACTAGACATAAGACAGTTTCCTATACACCCCAGCAAAATAGGGTGGCGGAACGAATGGATCGAACTCTTATTGAAAGGGTGAGGAGCATGCTAAACTCCTCGGGCCTTCCAAAGAGTTTTTGGGGGGGAAGCTGTTACTACGGCTGCATATTT